AGTCAGTCAGTCAGTCAGTCAGTCAGTCAGTCAGTCAGTCAGTCAGTCAATCATTTATATGCGCAGACAGTGAATAGATCGTTTTACTGGCAGAACTTCGTACAACTTCAGACTTTATAAGTTGGCGTTAGGGTGATAATCACTTGGTTATTTTACTTTTGATGTAAATATACCCGACGCATTCTATTGTGATTCCTGTAGGCTTGAAACGATGATAATCGATCACGTGACAAGCATTTTGATTCGCTTTGATCCATACCACTCTGTGTTTGGCGTTCTTGTCAATCTGCTAGCCACTGTGGTTTGTTTCTGTTTGGTTGGCTTTTCTTCTACACATTGATTGTCACCTACCCCGTTCTACAAATTTAATCGATTCCTTGCAATCTTAACCACAACGTGCATTGAGTTCCGCGTCGGGCATCACTATCACCATAACCATAACCACCACCACCACCATCGCCATCACCACCGCATAAACTACAGACATCGTTCAAAAGGTGTTTTCGTGCCGGTGTTTATATCTATCTATCTGCGTCCTGTTTAACCTCATCCTTCTCTCGGCTTTATCCTCATAGTTCAACTGATTTATTGGACCTAGCCGACAATCGGGCAACATGACCCGGCCTCACTAGCAGACACTTAACGGCCCGGTATCCTTGTTTGTGTGTGTGTGTGTGTGTGTATGTGGGCTCGCCAACATGGGGATTGTGGTTGTCGATCATACCCTGGTAAGAATCCTGTTCTCCCCGTGTTTGTAGACGCACGGCATATGCAAAGGGGTTGTTAGATGTGGTACCCTTGAAATAGATTATCTGTGAGTGCGAAATTTTACGGTCCGCGCGTGACCTGACAATCGATGCTTTCCGGATGATAAGACTCTAAGGTGTGGTTGTCTGGGCAAGGTAAGCCAAAACCACACGGCACAATCAAAGGACAGATTCAAACGAAGTTCCATTCCGGTCCCCTCGTTTCTTCGTTCAGAACGAACAAAAAAATGAAAATGTCATCTGTAACGAACGGAAGGTCAAACGCCTATTGGTTACCCACCCTGTGATAGCATCATTCGATTGGTCCGAATCAATATTCAAACTGAACAGGTGGGACAGTAACCGTGTTGTCAGACAGTGTAGAGAAACGTTTGGTCAACAAATATTCTTTGGAATAACTTGTGGAACAAAGCATATTTACCAAATGCATTCAGTGAACGGGTGAAAATCCAAAACAAAAGCAAACTTCTGATTTGATTATGACTGCAAAAAGTTTTGTTAATTCTTTATTTTTCCAGTAAGTTATTCGCTAAAATGCTTAGCCCAACTCAGGGTCGCAGCAGACAGCATCCCCAGTCAACTCAACATCTCGTATTCAATGTATATTATTCAAACAGAAAAACTGCTTACGATTGCGGCCATCAGTGTTTAACGCCAACCGGTCATTTATCAAGGCAAATTTCTCATTTTTACTTACCTTAAACATTGAGCCAGAGCTTTCAGTTGGGGTGAGTTTGGTATCAACATAAGGATAGTGCACGTGGTCGGCGTGGTCTTGAGCAATACCCACAAGTTTCAGATCAGATCCGACGGACCCTTCCGAGGGACTGACATGTGTATCCAATGTCATGTGACTTCCACCAGAATGCATTGTCTCTTCCATTGGTCCCGTGACACTGGCCTCAATGGATTCGTGGGAACTGTGCATACCATCACCCTCCTCCTCATCCTCACCAGTATCAATGGCAGAATCATCGTGAGATGTGATAGTGAATTTGCCGGTCAAAAGTTCGGTGTCACTGAACACTCCGTAGCGCAAGTTACGTTGCGATTCACGACATTTGTGCATGACGGAGTGTTGGTAGGAGGCCAGTTCCAAGTCGAAAACTCGAGTGCCGGGAAGACCTTGCTGGGGCAGCAATTGGTCCCAGTGGGTCGTGTGCAAGGGCAATCGAAGCGGATAAAGGTACCTGCGTTTGGTATCTCTGTTGGAAAACGTATTGTATTGGGGAATGAATTCAGTTCAGTGAATTGCTGAAAGGTTTCAATATCTGGAATAAAGGTATCTTCTCCGTCAACAAAGAACACAAAGAACTGGAAGACTGGATCTTATGGTCATGCGTAAATTGGTAAGGAATCTGATGTGTAGACTGCTTTAAAGTAATTTTATTCAGAAATGATGACCACTTCTAAGTTTACCCGGTGTTTTTTTAATTGGGCCTCCAGAAAATACTACCCAGGAACTACGAGGATAACACAGTGTGGACGTGAGAATGAAAAGGGCCAAAAAGGTTTGTTTGTAAAAATCAATCCGTGTGTCCTCCTAGTTGGATGGTAGTGGAAAAAGAAGACCTACATGGACGTTGCTTTCAGATTTTTTAAACCTCCGAGTTCTTCGATATCCATCCTGACCGGTATGGTTTGTGTGCTGAACTGCCACACACACAAAAGAAAAAAAAATAGTTTGAAAGAATTTACCGAGGAGATTGGGACAAATCCCCCGGGGCCAGCTTAATCAATTCCTTTTTTGTTTTTTTTCTGTAATTCCGTTTCGATCGCGTCACGCCTTGGCTCCCTCGCTCTTCCACTATTTTCCACTGTGTGTATAATTTATTTTCTAGTTTCTATTTCTGTCGGGTTTTGTTTTGCTGCATTTATTTTTGTTTCTCTTCGCCTGCTGAGATTTCATCTCCTTTCTATAGAGAATGATAAAGTGTGAAATAAAGATACAGGGACAGGGAACTGGAAGCTGCAGCTGCCAGTAGACGGCTTGACTAACTCTCTGGCGAAGTTGAGACAAGGATCGATGCGCTGGTAATAGGAGACGTTAGACTGCCGTAGCAGAGAGCGAGAGAGAGAGGGTTAGTATGAATTGTTGCCAAGTGGGAGGCAACTGATTAGGTCGAAGCAAATAATTAAAACTGACCACGCTCTCAAGTGATAGAAAAATAAGAGTTAACAGCTTAGTCTACCGCTCGACGAACTCCTTAGGATGGTTCCTGAGCTCAGTTGTTGTTAGGCTTTGTCGGCGGTAGCTGCAAACTATGCTAAACTGCATCTCTTCACAGAAGGATCGGCTTTCCGCTGAGTTCACGAAAGCTTTATCGTCGCTTATCCTTCGGTTTTCTATAGCGTATCACGCGGTACCATGTGGAACTAGATATAGCAAAGAGATACATCACTGTGCAGCGAAGATAACTGGCCGCAGTTTACCTGGATTGTTAAGTTAAATGAACTCCCTAAAGAATGAATTGCGTGAAAGCAGAGTTTAACACAACCAACTTGGGTTGAATATGTTGGAATCCGAATGAAGCAAGCAGGCACCGTTTCGTTGATGACAAAGTACCAACTACTTTCCGGAAAGTGTTTCTTTTTCAAGTAACCTAGGTTTTCCTTCACAGACGAATACATCACAAATTAGAGAACATAAAGGGGATGCAATCTAGGAAACAGCGACTTACTTGCACAAAGTCCTCCTCATCCGTTGTAATGAAGATGCTTCCTTCCTTGCTGCGGATAGTTTTCGAGGACAAGTGGGGATTCTGGATTCAGAAGACGTGGCACCCAGTACACCACTACTGCTAGTTGAACTGCTCGTTGTAGACGAGGTATACTTGGGACTGTCAGACTTCAGGTCATAATAACTTTCTCCTTTGGTTTCAACCTCTTGGATCGGGTTCAGCTGTGTATGAAACGCTCTGGTTTGTCGACTGGACAAGGGGGATCCAATTGTTGCCAATACAGCAGCGTTATGACGCGTTTGTTGGGAGTTGGAGTTACCGAACCCCGCGAGTTGATTACCACTGCGGTCGTTCATTGGAGATTTGTCCACCGGCTGATTTATACATAAAGGCAGTGACCTAGCGCCCAGGATGATATGACTCCTTGTCCCAATCGGATTACGTCGAACCGCTGTTTCCGGAAGGATTGACATATGTAACCAGGCATGTGGCAATAACACAGATCGAACCGCATCATCCACCCCCGACAAACTGCGACGGCATAAAGGACTGATAGTGCCATGCATCCGGTTCAGGATATCCTTGGTATCGTTACTGGTAGTGGATATACCATTGTTGAGCGTAGTGCTGCGCGTGGCGGGTAACGGAAACGAAGTACGTCGTTTTGCCACCCGAACACAATCTTTTGGGGATTGCCATTCATTCATATTTGACTTTCCACAGGAATTCAGTTTCACCACTTTTGGAATCGAATGATCATCTGCACTCGTTTCGCAGCAGGGATCTGTGAGGCATGGGAATTCAGGATCTGTCAGGGAGAAATGGGGTGTGGACGAGGCTCGTAGGAGGACACCCTCGAGTACAGAGTGAAAGCAACCGCTGAGAAGACGTGCATGGATGGGGGACTGCAAAACAAAAATGATAAAAGGGAGTGCAATCAGTGAAGAAGAAGAATTTCAGATGATTAAACGCGATCGATATCAGGAATAATACGGATACAAAATGCTTGTATGAAACGAAAATTATGTCTGAAGAATTTCACACTGAAATAAAACGTCTTATCATACGACCAGAATGAGTAATTTAATCACTCCAATATTCGATGTGTGTTTATGGGAGTAGGAAACTTGATGTCAACAACTTGTACATTGCGTACTACTCAACATGACCACCAATCAGTATCGCGGTCGTAAAATTCTTAGCTCCGGTTTTTTAACCTTCAACCCTTTGGTAGATTCAGCATTTGAAGCTGGACAAATCGGCGGGAAAAGAATTTTACAGGTCAATAGGAACTTGTATTCTGATTGGTTTACTTGCTCATCAGTGAACATACGGAATACATTTCGGCGGTGGTGGCGCAAAAACAATACAAAACAAAAACAAGCGCTAACATGTCGAATTTTGGCTGATACTTCCGGATAGTTCGGTACTCTGTTTCATTTGGGCGGTGGTGGCCAGGTGGTAACGTCACCAAATTATAACCCCGGGTGTGTGTTTGAATCTCACCACCACCGTCGCCTGATTTTCTTCATTGTGTATGATGGATGGTAGCCCATCGATTGACCGCCTTCGTGAAATTTTGTATCTTTGTAAATTTAATAAAAGGAAGTAAACTGTAAAGGAAAAAGAAAAAACAACTCTCAAACTCTCTCTCTCTCTCTCTTGTAGTGTCGGCAGAATGGTTGCGTTGTTTCTCTCTCTCTCTCTCCTTCACCCTCTTTTAGAGTTCTACAACTCACATGTTGGCATTCGTCAAGTTATGCCGGAACTAACAAAGCGGGAGATGATCATGGTGAAGATGGAAATATTTACCTCTGATCAACATTGTGAGCGCA